TCAGGCAGTTGTCAAGTGAAGTCTGCATGAAGAATGGGGGAAAGGAGTCTAGCAAAGCCCTCGGTCCCCAGAACTTGCTGAGCTGGGCCTTCAAGGACCCTCCTCCCTAGAATGTCGACCCTGCCAAGAATCACAGCATCTTAGGGTTGGACGGGACCTCGGTGCCAGGCTGATCCCAAACACGTCTGAGCAGGCGGCCCTGCTCCACATTCCCAGGAAGTGGTCTTCTGTCTTCACTTAGGGACTGGGGTGGGGGCAGCCCCATCATCTCCCACGGAAGCCCAGGCCAGTTTGGGGCAGTTCTAACAGTTAGGAAGCCCTGCCTCCATCTGCCATGGAAATCTGCCTCAGCCTAGTGCAGCCTCTGGGGCCAACGGATCGATCAAAGCAGGGCAAACCTGATTCACATGGCCATCACAAACTTCAACAGGAGGGTTCTTTGCATGTTAAAAAGAAACATAGATACAGGGCTAACTATAGCTATAGCTGTATAGCCATACAGCTACATAGCTACATCTACATCTGTCTGTCTACATACACACACACACACATACACACACACACATACACACACATATACACACACACATACACACATATACACACACACACACACATACACACACACAAACGCACACATACGCACACATATACACATACACATCCCCTGACTCCATCTTTTCTTCGCCAGTCCTTTCAAAGATTCCCTGATGGCATGGTTTTGTGGCCTTTCTTTCACTGGGCTGGTCTCCCTCTTCTGAATGCACTCCACATTATCAATGTCAATCAGTCAGTCAAAAATCATGTATTAGTAGCTGCAGAGAAGGTGCCAACCTGCATTAGTGGAGAGTGTTTCCTTAGTTGGGAGTCTCCTATACCAATGAAACCCAAGTGCAGCCCTTCTCCCCATGTGGCCGGTTTAAGGGAAACAAAGACATTACGAAGCCATTTCTGCTCCTCGGGGGCTTCCATCCTTTCAACAGAGATACCAGGTCTATCAATCAGCACACAGAAAATCAATTCAAGGTGAATTTTGGGGAGGAGCAAGACACTAGTACTGGGGCATCAGGGTAGGCTTCCTGTAGGAGGTGGCCATTGAGATGAATTTTGGAGGGGGTAGTAAAGAGAGAATTCTGTGTTTTAGGTATGGCTGTATAGTCTGAACAAAGGCAAAGAGAGGGGAAATAGACTGTGGTGTGTTACAGAAGCAGCTGGCTACAAGGAATGATGGGCAGAAAGGCTGGAGAAGCCAGTTAGAGCCAGGCTGTGAGGGGTTCTAAGAGCCAAACAAATGGGCTCATATCAGACCCTGGAAATGCTAGGCAGATAGTGGCATTTCTCAAGTCGGGGGATGTGATCCCAACCACAATTAGTGCCTGTGACCGTCCCCAAGTGAGACACAAGGACAGCTGACCACCATAACACAGATGTTCTCCGATCAGGGCAGGGTATCATCGCCTGCCATCACTCAATCCTCCAGCAGCTTTTTGGGCGGCTGGCTCCCATCACTGAGTTTTGGGTCCATGGAAAGCCCAGCCTGCCTGGTTGTAGTGCAATGGCATTCAGCTAGGCTACCAGCATTTACCGCTCAGACCCAGCACCCCCATGGTGAACAGACAAGTAGGCTGAGGGCACTGCTGGGTGAATGGCCGCACCTCTGAGAGTGGCCACAGGTGGCAGTCTCCTGCCTAAGGATTCTACCCCAGGCTGGCCTGATTCAGCTCCAACAGGCCCAGAGAAAGAAGCCTGCAGAAAAACCGCAACAGCCTGAGGTGTCAAAATTACAAAGCAAATTTGAGTTTGGGTTTGGAAAGAAGATGTCATAGCTAGCACCTTTCTCTCCCCCACCTTCACCCCTATCTCCCTCCTGGCTGAACCTGAGGCTAGTAGCTTAAGTCCACAGGAGAGTATCCAAAATGCCTTGTGTTCCTAGAGGATCTCTGGGGGGAGCTATTCCTTGGGAGTCTGGGGGGGAGGGCAGAGCAGATGGCCTGTCCCAATGGGAGTAGCACTACTAAAAATCACCTGGGGTGGGGGGAGGAACAAGCATTTATTAAGCACCTATCACGTGCCAGGCACTGTGCTAAGTGCTGGACAAATGCTGTCGCACTTGATCTTCACAAAAACTCTGCAAGGTAGATATGATCCCCATTTTACAGTTGAGAAAACTGAGGCAAACAGAGATTAAGTGACTTGTCTAAGGTCACACAGCGATTAAATGTCCAAGACCAGATTTGACTTCCTAACTCCAGGTCCAGAGCTCTATCCACTGTGACACCTAGCTGCCCTTGACCCCAGGTTTTCATGCTAGACCCTCTGAAGAGGGCTCTACCCTCTGGTAAACAACTTTGAAAGCTTACTATACTGCTGGTGGGTAGGGCGGGCCAGGACAAGGGGCTTCTGCTTGCCCTTCCCAAGCCATCCTTCCTTATCCTGCGGCCAGGTCCCCAAACCTGCATGGGGATTCATCCCACTTTGTCTCTGCTGGTCTGCCTGCTTTCAGTTCCACAGAACAAGATGTCCCCACCTTGGGTATCTTCTGGTATCCCCTTCCCTTCTCCTGCCCCCCCACTTTCCTGCCTCCCTTTGTGAGTTGTCTCCCCCTTTAGAGTGTAAGCTCCTTGAGAGTAGGCACTGTCTTGTTTGCTTCTATCTGTATCCCAAGATCTTAGTACAAAGTCTGACACATAGTAAGTTTTTAGTAAACATTGTATCTATCGATCTAATTTACAAGGATATATACATCAAGAGTCTGTGTGAACTGTCTCATTGAAAACACGATGCTGTCAAAATATCCCTGGCTTAGGGTCACAAGGCCTGGGTTCAAATCCACCTTTGTCCCTTCTCCAGTTGAGCCTATGCCACATGGGATGTTTCAGTGTCTGGAAAGTAAAGAGGTCGCTCGAGAGACCCCTGCAGGTCCCTTCCAGCTCTCAGCCAACACCCCTATGACCAATGACATTTCCCTGACCGGCCTTATCATAACCACGTCTAAAGAAGAAGACGACGATAGAGTAAGCACAGTCTAGAAAGACTCATTCTTGATCAGCCCGGACGGCTCTGAGTAATCCCAACCTCCTCCTCTAAGTGTTCATTAACCCACCCTCTGTGCGATGTCATTGTCTTCTTCCAGGACAAAGGATGAACAGTAACAAAAAGGGACCCTCGTCTCCCACTTTTATGCCCAGAAATATCTAGCATAGAACCATGCACAAGAGAGGCACTGGGGCCAATCAGAAAGAGCCCCGGACCCTGGAATGACCTGGGCTCAAATCCTACCTCTGACATTTTCTAACTCTTTAAGGATGAGCAAGTCACAGATTCAGAATTGCAGAATTAGAAGGGATTGGCTAAGGCCACCTAATCCAATCCATACTTCAATAAGGAATCCTTGTTACAACATACACAAAACTTGCTTGAATATCTCCCACACAGGGGAGCTCACTACCTCCCAAGGCAGCCCATTTGACTTTTGGACAACTGTCAGTCAACAAGCATGTATTAAGTGCCTACTGCGTGCCAGCACTGTACAAAGGGCTGGGGATACAAAGAAAGGCAAAGCTATGACCCTGCCCTCAGGGAGCTCACAATTTAACGGGGGATACAAAATGCAAACAATTAGGCAGATGCAAGACATATGCAGTATAAACTAGAAATCCTCACCAGAGGGCAGGCATTAGTGGGGGAGAAGGCAACCAGGAAAGGCCCCCTGAAGAAAGGGAGTTTGAGCTGGAGTCTGGGAGGTGACGGTGAGGAGGGGGAGCTCTAGGCACGGTGGGAGAGCCAATGGAGGGGCACAGACGTGGAGCTGGGTACGGTAGCCGGGTTGTGGAGCACACTGAGGGCAGTAGGTAGGGCCAGGTCAGATTTCTTTGTGATCCTGGGGGTACTGGTGAGCCACTGGAGTTTCCTGATGGGAGGAGGTGGGGAGGAGACAAGGTCAGACCTGCGCTCTAGGAAGATGCTTTTGGCCAGCTCTTCTTAGGACATTGGTCCTGCCATCCAGCCTTGACCTCACTACAGCTTCCCCTGTAGCTCTGGGTTCTGTCCTCTGGGGCCAACAACGAACCAGCCCGGCCTCTCCTCAGACCCTTTCAAGTGCTCGCAGAAAGCTCTTTGGACCCACCCTCCCCCAGGCTTCTCTCCTCCGGGCTAAGCACGCCTAGTTTCTTCAGTTGATCTTCAATTTGTCTGGGCCTCAGCTTCAGCATCTATAAAATGGGGCTTATCCCACATATCTCCCTCCAAGATTCTCTGAGAGGGCTTTTTTCCATGGTACACTACAAAGCATAACGTTTACCCTGAAGGCTTTAGGCTAGTCTATGTAGTATGGAGGGAACCTGCCCCACCGGGGCTTAGCCAATGAGACAAGACAGGCATAAAAATGTCTGACACTAGATATGGGAGCCAGAAAACCTGGGTTCCAATCCCACCTTTGCCACTTAACTATCTATGTGCCATTGGGCAATAGCTCCTCCGGTTAAGTCTGCGCCATACAGCATTGAGTTCAGAAAGCCAGCTGGGTGGAAAGTAGAGTTTGCGGACGAGTGAGCTATGAAATAAGGCTCAAGGCGGAGGCAGGAGAGAGGCTGTGAAGAGACAAAACTGTCGGGCTGAAAAGGTTCTATCCTATCTTATAGACAACGACAGCACAAAGCCGGAGGTGCACATTTAGGGTTAGATTGTCAGTTTTAGAAGAGGGGCACCAGTCAACCAGCATTTATCAAGCACTTACTATGTGCCAGGCACTATGTTAAGAGCTGGGGATACAAAGAAAGTCAAAAATTAGTCCCTGCCCTCAGGCAGCGCCCAGTCTAATGGTGCAGTCAGAAAAGGTAAGTTCTTACTTACTCTCCTTCCACCTGCTCCATACTTTGTTTTGCTTTAAGAAACACAAACCGAGTTTGGTTGGGCAAGGGGAACTGTGACGAAGAAAATGCTTTCAAAAGGCCTGCCGAGAAACGATTGTGTTTCACTGCGTAATCATCAGAAATATTTACCTCTGGCCCTGTGATGTGCATGAGACCAGACACAGCGGATGCAACTGCATCATAACCAGCTCTGTCACTCAGTGGACCCGTCTGACCATAACCTGAAACAGGAAGAGAGATGTGTCAGGACTCCACGCCCCCAGGACCAGATCCCATGCCCCACCAAGACACCAATCACATGCAATCATCATCACATGTATCCAAGAATTTCAACATACACGGCTGGTCCCTAGGGTCACAGGTTACAGACCCAGGGCTATAAAGGATCTCAGAAATCATGGAGCCCGACCTCTTTATTTTACAGGTGAGGAAACCAAGGCCCAAGGAGGATGAGGTCTCACTTTCCCAAGTTCACTCCCAGGTAGTGATGGGCAGGGCTGGAGCAGGAACCCAACACTTCCACCCCAGCTCCAGAGCCCACTCTGCGGCAGTATGTAGCGGTACATGAAAATACTTCCCCCAAAACCATTATATTTGCAAAACCGAATCTGTGAAAAGATTGTCGCAGAGGTCCCAAGTCAAACAAAAGAAGGCTGCCACTGGAAAAACCCCACCCAGGAGGAATTAGGAAGTCACCAGGGTTGGGGGAGGGGTAGAACCACAGCCATCCTTAGATTGGGCTCCAACGAGCACAGGGAGAGCTACACTACCTCTCTGGAAGTTCTCTCGAAGAGGCAAATTGCCCTGAGCACGAGAAGAGGCACCTTAAGATAAATGAGGGGGGCAGCTAGGTGGCGCAGTGGATAGAGGACCGGCCCTGGAGTCAGGAGGACCTGAGTTCAAATCTGGTCTCAGACCAGACACGTGACACTTACTAGCTGTGTGACCTTGTTCAAGTCACTTAACTCCAACTGCCTAAAAAAATTAAAAATAAATTAAAAAAAAAAGATAAATGAGGCCCATTCCCATTCTTTCTGGATTGGATGTGCACAGCAACTTCCCATGGGCTCCATCCCCAACAACGTTCCATGGGTTCCATCCCCAACAACTTCTCATGGGCTCCATCCCAACAACTTCCCTTGGGCTTTGTGACTTCCCAGAACAAAACATAGTTCCCTGGCTACTATTCCTCCATATGTTGGCTTCTCCCATTAGAGAGTAAGCTCTTTTAAGGGCAGGACCATCTGTATTGTATTATATTGATACTGCTTAGCACAGTGCCTGGCCCAAAGTCAGCATTTAATCAATGACTTTTTTCACTCATCATTCATTTATTAATTCATTCATTCTTACTGAATTATATTTTGACACTTTCTCAGTGTACAAACTTTGTTTTTCCATACAGACCTGGGATTTAATTGGTGTATGGTAAATGGTTTGGCCAAGATCCCACAGCCATTATATGCCAAAGGTAGGATTTGAAGCCAAGTCTTCTGGTCTTAGAAACCAGCTTTCTATCTACTATCCCATGCTTCCCTATACAGCTCCCCCACACACACACACATATGTATATATGTATATATGTGTATATATACCCAGGACTCCTTTGGAAATAATATTTACCCACAATTACTAATAGCTGAAAAGGTTTTCCAATTTCCTGATGAGTTTCTTCCTTTGCAACAGGGGATCTTACCATCCTTGGGTCATGGACCCCTTTGGCAGCCATTTGGCAAAGCCTATGGACCCCTTCTCAGAATCATGTTTCTAAAGGCATAAAGTCCATAGGGTGACAAAGGAAACCAATCACATTGAAATGCAGTCATCCAATATATATATACATATATATATATATATGTATGTATGTATATATATATGTATGTATGTATGTATAAGTTAAAACCCCAGAATTCTATCACTTTAAAAAAATAAAATACAATTAAGGAAAATCTTAAAATGACTCATTTCATAAGCAAGCTCTTCCTCAAAGATGACTTGACGCCCTTGGTGAGTTTGCTGGCATATTTCTATATAAAAGTTGAAAAAGGCAGCAACAAAGAAAAATAACAAACCATCCCTTTAGAAAAGCTCAGAAATTCTAGAAGAGGCGATGGGGAAGGAGAGAAGGCATGTGGCTAAGGTCTTTCACAGTGAGATAGACAGAAGTCTGTGCCAAGTGTGGCAGAGAAGCTCTGGCTTCATGGAGCAGGGTAGCCAGCTGGGAGATTCAAAGGGCATCGCTAGATGCTCCAGGCTCTCTCCTCTACCATACAGAAACAACAGTGAGACTATACGCAGTCACCAGTGTGTGATGTCCACCAGGGAGCTGAGAGGAGGGTGCCACCATCAGGCTGGGGTCCCTTCTGATGTCTCATCTACAAGAAGAGTTAGTCTTCAGAAACCCCACATTGGACAGATCATGGGCAGTCTTCTCAGTCTTTGACCAAGAGCCCAGGTGCTTCCCCTGGGAGAAATCGAAGTCTTTCTCTAACTAAAATGTCTTCTGTAGGAATTCTCTCCTTAAAGAGTCATCACTGAAAAAAGCTTTAAATCAGCAAGAGGTGCAAGAGGGAGAAAACAGTCAGGCTTTGGCCCTAGTTTGGGGTGGGGGGGGTGGGAGAGGGGCCCACAAAGATCCTGATTCCTATAAATCATAGCTCTTCTAGGCTTATCTTGTTTTTAAAAAGCAATAGGGCTCCAGAATATTAAGAATGACTGGAGGAAATGAATTCACATGGAGACACTTTAAAACTATGGGAAGAATTTTTCCTAGCTTTATAAGTGTGTTGTAATGATAAGAGGCACAATGAGGAGAGTTCTCAACTTGTTTTCAGAAGAGTTCTGGGTTAAAATCCTGCCTCTAATAGATGCAGGCTTGGTGACCTGGGCAAGTCACTAAAACACCCCCAGGAATGGTGTCATGGACTCCGCCCACCCTACCTGCTGGTGTCTGAATGAGAGCCAAGGCCTACGGACTTGTGCTTTTAGTCTCAGAGGGTGGGAGACCACAGACCCTCCCAACCATCATGGCCTTTCATGTGAGAGAGAAGCTAAGCACCTAGAAAGGAGGTCAGCTCAGAAGACTTTTGTCAGAGACAAAGGATGGAACAATTCCTGCTGAAGTCTCTGATGTGCAGGTAGATAGAAAGGATGGATAAACTGCTCAGATGACGGAGTGCGAGTGATTAGTCCCTCCTCATGCAATCTCAAGCATCTCAGAAACAGCCTTCTCATTTCCCAGGAGAGTGGACTAAACCCAGAGGCAGCACCTTTCCTGCCTAGAACTTCAACCACAGAGACTCCTGAGTTAAAGAAACACCCCAAGTGGCCAGTCTGACCCCCCAAGTTCAGGTTTAGAAATACACCACTATGACTGACCCACACCATCATTTAGCTCAGGGACAATTATGGGCAGACTGATCACCGGCACAGAAAAGAAGTCTGTGACCAGACTAGAGTTACTTAGGAGACGATAAAGGAAACTGGAGATGGAGTCAGACGGTAATACTCACTGCTCACTGATGCACATGTTGCACCCCTGTTTTATTCTGGTGTTCATGTCAATCAGCTGCTATGATAGCATGGATTGTGGATATGTTTTCGTGTTAGCTATGCAGTTTTGTTGCTTGTTGATCTTCGTGTATGTTGCCATTTAGGCATGTTAATTAATATGCAAGCCTACTGAGAGTTAGCTTGACAGAGTGCAGAGGGCACCGGATGGCACCTTTACAAAAAACTGACTTTGTATTAGGACACAATAACCTCCTGAACAAATGCAGATTAGCAGAAATATGAAACCCACCCTTGGCTGGCCACAGTCAAATGAAAACTCTATTAGATGAAGGATCATTGAAGAAAAGGTTATAAATTGATTGGCAAAAAGCAGCTGGACTAGAGAGGCTTTAGGGTTCATTCAAGCTCTAAATTTATGGTCCTATGTTGCTGCTTTGCTTTGCTTTGTTTTGTTACTATGCTTATGTGAAACACATTTGTGGTATTCCTCCCACCTGAACTTACATTCCTCGGTTGGGTCCCCGAGGTTCTGGGGTATCCTGTTGATCTGAGCTCCTACCACTACAGCCCATACGTCTGGTGTGATTCCCTTTAAAAGTCAACTAGACACAATTAGCTACTAGCAAAAATATATTAAGTAAGAACCGTGGTTAAAACATTCCCTGCCCATAAACCTGGGGCACAATCCCCCACAAACGCACACAGAGTCTATGGGAAAAGTGGGTCCAAACTTAAGTAATAAAGATGGTAAGATCCACATTTAAGGAAGGCATGTGACTAAAGCTACTCACTCCTCCGGCACTGCAGGGTCTCAAAGTCCTTTCTCTGCTGGAGGAGTCTTCACTGCATCTCAGCTCTTCGTTACCAAGGCCAGCTTTCTTTCAAGCCCACAGTCAGCTCTCTTCTTGCCAGGCGTCACGGTTTTTAAAGATGTTTATGGCCTTGAATGACTGCCTTTCTCTATCTGTGTCTGTGTCTTTTTGGAATATATGCCTCTGCTCCCTCAACTGGGCCTCAAACCCTATTGACCTTGACTTCAAATAGCGAATCACTCGGCTACTAAATGCCAAGGACAATGGAGAGTTGGAAGAGAAAATCCTCTCCTCCCCCTAAGAAGGGGACCATTCATGCCCATACTGTCTCCGAATTCCCAAACTGCTGGCTGATTCTAGGGGTTATCTATTTAAACTTCCCAGGAATATTGTCGATTTTCAGTCCACCCGAACAGGCTGCCCTTTCTGACTCAATGGGAGAGGAGTTGCCACTCTTTAAAGGGTGTTAACACCTTTTCACCATACCAACCATATCTTGTGAATACATCAATTAAGCGAGGAAGGGAGAGATGGTGATGGGAGTTGAGGAAGATTCAATACTGAAAGTATGCAGCAGTAAACTTTACAAGTGATTCTAAAATTTCTGACCCTAGGGAAGAATGCAAAACTCTCAGATCTCAGCTTCTAGAAGCATCGATCAATCAATAAACATTTATTTACGGCCCAATTTTGTGCCAGGCACTGTGTTCAGCACTAGGGGTAAGGAGATCAGGATGCGAGATATGGAAGTCTGTCAGTTAGAGCAGAAATTCCCAGAGTCTCCTCCTTGACTCCACTGAAGAATTTTTCTCTTTCCACGGGCTAAAAGAAGCAATGATCTTAACTCACGGGTTTGCCCCTCCCACCTCTGGCCTGGAGAGAGTAAGAAAACTAAT